GTCCAGAGTGACATGATGTTATCATCTCTTCTCAGTTCCATTGAGCTCCGGGGCCGGGTCCAACACGGGTGATGAGAGTGGGAGCGAATCAAGCTCTTTGTTGACAAAGAAAGCACTAATCAGGAAATTAGTTCCCCTATTAGTGATTTAGGGGAACTGTGCCCACCACTGAAACTGATGCTATTCAAATCAGCTGCTAAAATAGTAATCTGCAAAAGACTTGAGTTTTCACAAATACTTTTATAATTTATAACAAGCAGAGAAACAACCTCATACATTTTAGAAAAGTTTGGCGGAATTTCTGTCTGAGCTTCTTACAAAGAAAAAAATGAATATATAGAGAAATATCAAACTGGAACATGTTTAACGTTAAAAGATCTGTGGACTTCTTTTCAGAATATAATCATAAAACATTGCATCATCATTGTGTCAAACATCAGTTCAATGTTGAGTGAAAGCCAAACRAAGGAACCCTACCTGACGAGAGGCAGTGGGTTTCCTCTGACTCTGCATTCCAGACGAATGGGACTTCCTTCTGCCACTTCCTGACTCTTCAGCTTCTGGAGGAACTGAGGAGGAGACAGGGGMCCTAATGCTGCTGGAACCCCAGAAAGTTGGTGCCTCTCGGTTTGAGCTCCCTGCCTTCCTGGGTGAGGGCCTGCTTCTTGCTGGCTGAGCTGTGCATCTTCCTCTTGGCCAGAGGGTAAGGCACGAGCACAGGCTGAGCCTTGAAGGACCGCCTGCTGGTTTCTTGGAGACAGATACCCACTGTCAGGAGAGGAAGACTCCTCCTCCAGCTGCTGCTCTAAATGAGCAGGACCTTTGAAAATGGAGGACAGCTCCTCGATGAAAGTGGCAGCCCGGCTGCAAAACTCTGTGACCGAAGCAGCTCGTTCATTCAGCTCCAGGCCTTGGTGAACTAGTCTGGGTTTATCCTGCTTATACACTGGTTGGATGGGTTTGTGGCGGATGACCTTCTCACCAGAACCCTGAGCTTCATTTGACATCTGTACAGGTTTACTGAGAGAGGAGGAAACTGAAACTGYTACATTATCATCTGGACACAGGGCTTTGGTCTGGAGCTGCGGGGTTGTGTTGAGGTTTTCATTAKTTTGAGGGGTCACAGAAGGGGATGAGACAGGTTGAAGAGCCCGCTCCGGTTTTATAAGACTAGAGGAGTCTGCTTCTTCAGAGTCACACGACTCACTAAAGGCCTCCCGGGCCAGGTCAAGGCTATGGTTAATCTCCTCAGCAGTCAGGAAGGCAGTAAGGTCTGCAAAGTCTCCATCTCCAGAATCCAGCTCTGTCGCTGAGTCGAGGTWGTGTTCTCCATCAGAAGAGGCCTCAGAAAAAAGCCTCCCATCTCCCTCTAGAGTCCCACCTGCTCCAGGCTCCTTGAGCAGCACAGAAATGGGGAGCGGTTGATTCCAACTCCCGTCCTGCATCCTGAAATAAAAAAAAATACAGCTTTATTCTCCACACAGAAAATCATATACAACATAAGATATTTATTTAGCTATACAATAGGCACCAACAAAGACATTTAAATACTGTGTGTCAGCTTTTCTTAGCCAACAGGATGACTCAGGCCTGTGTCCTCTAAATGCAGCTATATATTACGAATGATGTCAAAATGAACATGACTGGTATGTGTTAGTCACCTTGTGTCTGCCAGAACAGTTCACAGCCATTGTTTTTTTTTTTTTGTGTGTGTGTGTGTGTGTGTGTGTGTGTGTGTGTGTGTGTGTGTGTGTGTGTGTGTGTGTGTGTGTGTGTGTG